CAATATACAGCCTTGTCATACTCCTTTCCCAATTTTGAACCAATCAGTTGTTCCATATCCAGTTCTAACTGTTGCTTCCTGTCCCACATATAGATTTCTCAGGAGACAGATAAGGCAGTCAGGCACTCCCATTTCTTTAAGAACTTGCCATCGTTTGTTGTGGTCCACACAGTTAAAGACTTTTACGTAGTCAATGAAGCAGAAGTAAATGTTTTTCGGGAACTCTCTGGCTTTCTCCAGGATTTGAAGCATAATCTTGCTAGTGTGTGAAATTAGTGCAGTTGTACGGTAGTCGGAGCATTCTTTGGCACTGCCCTTCTTTGGGATTGGGATGTAGACTGATCTTTTCCATTCCTCTGGCTACGGTTGAGTTTTCCACACTTGCTGGCATATTGAGTATAGCACCTTAACCATGTCATCATTTAAGATTTTAAATAGTTCCACTGGAATGCCATCACCTCCACTCGCCTTGTTGTTAGCCATGCTTTCTAAGGCCCACTTGACTTCACTCTCCATGGTGTCTGGCTCAAGGTCAGCAACCTCACTATCTGGGTTGTCTGGGACATCCAGATCTTTCTGGTATAATTCTTCTATGTATTCTTGCCACCTCTTCTTGATGTCTTCTGCTTCTGTTAGGTCCCTCCCATTTTTGTCCTTTATCATATGCATCTTTGCACAAAAGGTTCCTTTAATATCTCCAGTTTTCTTGAACAGATCTCAGGTTTTTCCTTTTCTATTATTTTCCTCTGTTTCTTAGCACTGTTCATTTAAGAAGGCCCTCTTGTCTCTCCTTGCTATTCTTTGGAAGTCTGCATTCCATTTTCTGTAACTTTCCCTATCTCCCTTGCATTTGGTTTCCACAGAAGTAAGCTTAGGAGAGTAAATGAAAAAGTTATTAAATGACTGTTCTATATGATGGCTTTTGGATTAGTTTTGTGTTGAGGAGGAAAAAGAGTATGACATAAAACAACCATATCCAAGTCCATAAAGCAATGGAATAGATAACACCAATACCAACTGGAAAAAAAATGAAGTAAGTGACTCTTAGTTGTCTTTGTACAGGTTTGGCAACAGCTTCACTGTATAACAGTAAAGCTGGCCATGTTGTCCTTCACACAAATTAGCCAAGGATGAGCACTGTGAATTTTACTTAATAAAAAGATGCTTAATAATTCAGTAACATGTGTGAAAAGTATAGCAAGCATGGAGCTATTTGATTTGGTTTGGTTTTCCCTCAGACAGTTGCAGGAGAAATGTAGGGAACAATAACAGCCATTCTTTGTGGCCCTCATAGATCTTACCAAGGCCTTTGATTTGGTTAGCAGGG